CTGACAGATGCGCATTCCTGTCTGTCAGCTACATCCACACTTCATTTGCAAATAGTGCCTGTTGCCGACACCCCAGACATGCAGTGATGTGGCCTTCTGGTCACTTGTGCAGACCGAGCCAGCCCGGCACCTGCAAGGCTTGTGGTCCCAGCACAGCAGGCATGCCACACTTGACACTTAGTGGACTGCAAGCCAGGGGTGGGTAGCATCAGCACATACCTGTGCTTAATGCACTGGGTGCTACAATATGCCCTAGCAGCATTTTTTCATTTCCATCCTGTTGCTATAGAAATAGGCTGGGCACATATGGAAGTTGCATTAGCCTGACATTAAGTCCTTCTGAAAAACCAGATAATTAAAATCATGTTATGTTCCAGTTTTCTAATGTCTCTGCTATCAGTGCATGTATGATAATGCCAACAAGGGCAAGTGTAAATAATTAGCTCATTGAGTATTGCTTCAGAATGCCTTTAATTTATTCATTTTTATTTATTTCCTCCTTCTCACGTGTCCTTTCTCAGCTGCCAAGGAGCACCATCCAAATCAGTGGAGGGGAAAAGTTATACTTGAAGCTTTGTCACCATCTCCAAACTTTGCTCTGAATTGTGTAGATTTTAAATTCACTATTTCTCAAACTGATTTTTTTTCCTTTACAACAGTTTTCATAGCTAAACGATCTTGGACATGGAACGTGGTATTAAAAGTACAAAAACAGCCTATACACAGGAAAATATATTTTCCCCTTACCATAATTATCCTACATGCTGCTGGCACTCAGGTTAGCTAATATGCTTTTGGTTATGAGACACTAGATACCAAACATGATTTTAACATTATTTTAATTGGCACGTCCCTTTGACTGTTCTGCTTGTGTGTTGCATCCAAGCAATCCTTTATAAAACATAAGTGGGCAGCAACACTGCCATCTGACGTACAAAGCCCTTGTAACTCCTTCTTTCACACAGAGTAACGTAAGTGTGAGCTACAGCTGTGGGCCTTCACTGAGATATCACTGCTTTGCACACCTGTGCCCTTCTGTGTGCACTGATTCAGCTTCTAACACATACTAGTATCTAGAAATTGCTGTAGTGGCACTGATATGTAGGAAAATGAGGATAGTTTAGGGTGTTGGTATTGTGGAGCTTTGCGACTGAAATCTGCTTATTTTTTTTTTTAAATCTCTCTCCTTTGCTTCTGAAAATTTTAACATTTCTACCCTCTTTCCAGGGAACTGCTGATCGTGTAGGAAAATGGTGTTCAGTAGCACCACATTCCTGCTAATGACTTTCCCAGGTGTTTCACAGTGCATTCCCTGTGCAAGGAGGTTATTTTCATCAGCTCTTAGCAGGTGGACTCACTTGGGAGAATAGCTTTGACCAAGATCATGCAGCAGATTATCAAGCAACAAAAAAAAACAACAGCAAGAAATGCAAGAAAAATACAAATATTCTCTCTGAAGCTGATGTTAAAGCTAGGAGACATCAGTATGGCAGAGCTCAAGACTGTAATGAATTCTTCACAGCAAGTGTTGAAAAGGAAGGTGCAGGATAAATCCCTTAGGTAGGATTCATGCCTAGCTCATTCGGAGCAGCTTAACTTCAAAGGCAAGGAGCAAGATTTGTGGTTCCCCCTCTGCCTTTTCTTAATGTATATTTTAGTTCAATTAATTTTTCTTTTTCCTAAGTAGTAGTTAACAGGGCTAATGATAAATTGGCAATAGGAGAAATCCAGCTCTGCCATGTTATAGAACCTGACTTTTCAAATGCCATGGGCTTTTATATATGAATATGTGTGCTTGTTCTTGTTGTTATCACTGATAATAAAGATGAGTTGTCCAAAGTTTGGAGTGCAGCGGAGCCTGGGAGAGCTAAGAAAGCTCAAAAAAGATGGACAAATCCGAATTTTTTTCCTACTCTTTAACTACCACAGCTCTGGTGAAACAAATCAAACACAGATTTAAAACTTCCCTGCTTGAACTTCTCTTTCCCTTCCCTCTCCCCGGGGTTTCTGTTTTAGAGCTGTTGAACTGATTTGTTGAGACAGATCAAAGTATAAAGTATTTCTCAGCTGGTCTTACTTCTCTCACTGGATTGTAGTGGCAGAAGACAGGCAGCTCATTACAACTGGGAGAGCATCCCCATGAAACCAACTTGAGAAAAATAAGATTCTGCTGGAGCTGTAGTCCAGTCTCACCGTCATAGAAGCAAATTAGTTTAGAATGAATAAATAATGTCTTATGGCTTCTCATTAGGGTATGAGTCTGAGTATTAACATGATGTTAAGTATCTCTGTATGGTACTGTGAAGTCTTCAAGGCACACCCTGGGCTTGTCCAGTTTCAAGCATGTCTCCCCAGTGCTTATTCCTTTTCTTCCATTTTCAACACTGTTTTAGTGAACAGAGAGGAAGAGGAGAAGTTCTGCTCAACAGCTTGTCAGCCTTCTGTGGGTGCCAACTGTGTTTTCTAAGTCACCAAAGAGCCACACATGTTTGCAAGGTGCTAGTGAGCCTGGCTCTGTATCCTGGAGCACATTAAAAAGTAGGTTGAGAGAGATGATCCTCCCATGCTACTCTGCTCTGGTGAGAGCACACGTTAAGTACTGTATCCAGTTCTGAGCTCCTCAGTTCAAGAAAGGCAGGGAGCTTCTAGAGAGAGTCTGGTGGATGGCCACAAAGAGGATGAGGGGCCTGGAGCACCTCACTTATAAGGAAAGAGCTGGGACTGTCAGCCTGAAGAAGAGAAGGCTGAAAGGGGATCTCAGCACTGTTTATAAATATCTAAAGATAAAGGAGTCACATGGATGGGGTCAGGCTCTTTTTAGTGGTGCGCAGTGACAGGACAAGAGGCAGTGAACAAAAACTGGAACGCAGGAAGATCCATCTGAACATGAGGAAGAACTCTGTTGTGAGAGTGACAGAGCACTGGAACAGGCTGCCCAGAGAAGTTGTGGAGTCTCCTTCTCTGGCCATATTCAGAATCTGCCGGGATGCTTTCCTGTGGGGAACCTGTTTTAGAAGGAGGGTTGGACTAGATGATCTCCAGAGGTCCCTTCCAGCCCCTGCGATTCTGTGATTCTGTTTAAGCCAGATGTGGCTCCTTACTTCTTTTAAGAATGCACTATGGAGGCATCTATAAACAGCATGTGCTTCCTGGAACTCTATATTTCTTCTTTCAAACAATGTAGCAGCCTCTTTGGAACCATTTCTGACTAATTCTGAAGGGGTTCATGTAACTCATGGATGTCCAACCTTTTGGCTTGCCCGAGCTGCACTGAGAGAAGAGAAATTGTCTTGCGCTGCATATAAAATACATAACTGAGTTAATGTATATAAGTGACAAAACATTTTTTAATATATTTTTTATTGAAAGTTAAAAAACAGCATCAAATACATAAGGCTAGTGGGATATTTGACCTTGTTTTTGTGAAACTAATGCATCAGTCTCTGGTTCAGTGCAAGTGGTTGCAATTTTCAGTGAGCTCTCAAGATATTCATCACAGGTTTTTATTGAAATATTACTCTTTCTGTGAATCAGCCTTGAAACAGTTGTTCACAAATAGATGTACTGCCAGAAAGCAAGGACAGGAATAAGGCATGGTTGTGAAACATTGGATATCTTTATCTGCTAAAATAGATCTTACAGAAGTTTGGTGAAGAGACATGATAAAATGTTTTTGAGTTGAATGTCTGATTGCAATTCTACACATGGCATGTGAAAATGTGCAGGCAGTGTATTTATTCGTACTGAAAAAGGAGTTGTGGATATACAAAAAAATATATATATTTTTTGAAATCTTGTAACCTATTCTCAAATTCCTTTATCAAAACTGAAAGCACAGCTGCATATTTTTCACTGTTCATAGGGCTGTGTTTAGCCAACACATCAAAATGCATGAAATTATTTGCCATTACTTGAGTTTGCCATACTTCAAGTTTCATTTTGAACTTTGTTACAGCTTGAAACATAGCACAGATAGGTTGATTTTCACCTAGAAGACACATGTTTAACTCATCTATGTGAGCGGTCAAATCCACCAAAAATTCTAAAACTGTGAGCACTTTTCATCTTCAACTTCTAGCACAAATTTTCCTTTTGATTCCGTAAATGACTTGGTTTCATTTCTCAAATCATAAAATCTTTTTAGCACTTGACCTTGACTCAGTCACCTTCCTTCCGAAAAGTAAATGATGTTCTTATTATCAGCACGCACACTTTTAAGGAACTCCTGGAACTGGCAATGATTCAATCCACTGGACTTCACAAAATTCTCAGCTCTGATGATTTGCATGGCATTATCCATTTTTATGGCTTTCACACATTATTTTTCTTGATGTATGATGCAGTGCTATTTCATCAAACGTGAGCTGCCAGTGGCAATTGCATCATCTTCTATTAATTTTATAAGTTCCTCTTTTTTACCAACCATCACTGGAGCACCATAGAATCATAGAATCACCAGCTCTACGATCATCCAGTAGCTATCAGTAGCTATACCAGGTGTGTTGAAAAGGACTAAAGAAAATTGCTTTGATGTAATTTTTACCACTTTATAGATATCAAGAGATTTAGTTGTGTCTTCCAGTGGTAGCACAGCAGCCATTTCTTCAGCAACATTATATTTGTTATCAATGCCTCTAATGAAAATGGCAAGTTAAGCCATGTCTGTAGCATCGCTACTTTCACCTCTCGCCAAAGCATAGCATTTGAAATTAGCAGCTCTACTCTCCAAATGTCTTTCAATAGATTTTTTTGTTGCTTCAGTTCACCTGACTACAATCTGGTGAGAAGAAAAATCCATTTTTTTAACTGGACTTTATGGGAACTGTTGAGTCACAGCCCAAACCACTGATTGCTCACCTGAGGCGAGCACTGAGTCAGCCATGGAGCACAGGTGAAGGCGATTCAGCTGTGACCAAAGGGGTGGAGCCTGGCTGCACCTCCTAGACCCCATTTAAGGGCTGACTGCCAGAAGGGAAGGGTCTCTTGCTGGTGGAGCTGGTGGAGCTTTCGTGTGTGAACTTGGAATCTTCTATATGGGTAAGCAGTCTTTTTTCTTATAGCACCTTTTTATCGTGCAGATCTTCCTGTTGTGTTGGTCTGCCTAATTGCCACAAGGATGCATTATATCTGCTACACTTCCCAAATGCTGCCAAATAAACTCACCATCAGTAAGTGGTTTTGGTGGTTTTGCAGTCAGGTTTGCTATCACCTAAATAGTTTGTATGGTAGAGTCTGCTTGAGTTTTGGCTTTTTTTAAGAGCTTTTGCTGAGAGACAGACTTTTTTTCAGTTCCTGCTTTTATGAAGGTATCAGATGTGGTAGCATGAGTGAAGGGAAGGAGCCTGAGGTTGAGCTGCCACCATGATGGCACAGGGTAGGGGGCAAGCTGCCTTGCAAACTGTGCCGAGTCGTGTTGTGGCCTGTGGGTCTGAGGTTGGACATGTCTGGTGTAACTCAAAGTGTTGTAGAACTCAGACCTGCCAGCATCAAGCTCCAGCTCAGAGCAAGCAGGCAAGAAGACTGCTTCTTGCTGCAGTCCATGTGGGTGAGTAGGACAAGCTCTCTGCCTTTGCCTCCTGCCTTCATCCTTTCACTCTGTATGAGCCTTTAGTAGTCCTAAAATGTTTTGAGAAATTGTTGTTTTGACTAAGGATCGATGCATGGTTTGCTTACAGCTATGCATGTGTTATTGATGAAGCAGCAGGAGTGATGGCTGCATCACACAGAAGCAGAGCTGGTCTGTGAAAGTATCCTCTGAAAGAGCAGATCTTGGGATTTTAATTTGAAAAGAGGAAAAAAAAAGTGAGGAAAGAAAAGGGCCATGTTTTGGTGGCAGAGATTTCAGGTCGCCTGACTGCCACATAATAATGCCCAGTTCTGAAATACATTTGAAGTGCACATGGCTTAGCAAATATGTTAAGACATAGCATGCAGGAAGCAGGATGTAAATGTCCTTAGTTGGAAAGGGACTCTCCTGAGAGTTTGTGCTTCTGCCTAAATGCAGCCTGATGTAAATTGTAGGTTCGCTTGCTCCTCTTCACATGAAACAGAAGCAAGCCAAAGCAATATAGAGAAAGATAAGTACAGTATAAATCAGCAGATGATAATTATTTTGAGTGGCAGGACTGAGCATTTTAGCCAGGTATAGCTAGAGCATGGCAGATTTTGGCAGAGAAGCAATAGGCACTTCTGCTGGTAGAAGAGAGAATCTCATCTAGGTGGGTGTGTGACTGTACTTTAAGCCAGTGGAGTTGGCCCCATCTACACAAAAGCTAGATGTTGCTCATGCTATGAGGAAACCTCTCTTTCAGAGAAAACCAAGATTTGATATGGAAACAAGGTCATAAATTGCCCTTAAAATGTGATGCTGTGGTATGGAGCCATGCCCATGCAGTGCTATGAGACCTGATATCATACCATCTGGCAAGACTTTCTGAAGTTACTGTAGAAAAAGAGATTTGGGTACCACATGGATGGTGGAACCTCTACAGCAACAGGGTTAATCCTTAGCTCTCACTTCCTGACTGTGTTTCATAGCTAAGGGTCAGACTTCTCAGAGACACCATTTGAACAGTGCAGAGGAGTTTAAGTCTAGGAAAACATGTCAGATCTGTGCCTGTTGTGAATTTGTTTGTCCACAATGACTTTGCCAAGCTGAGAATTGATCTGTATGCAGCACCCTGCTGTTCCCTGAGCATTTTCTGCTACACAAGCCTTTCAGCTAAGGGGTGCAGAAAGAAACAGAGACTTAACTTTAGGCAGATATTTTGGTATCCTTACACTCCTGCCCCAATCTTACAGGAGTTCTTCAAAACTAGAACGAGCTTGATAGGCATCTTTTCCTATTGGCATGCTTTTTGCTCATGAACTAAAACTCATCAGATATATCCTACAGGATAAAGTCCAGGCACACAATCTCTATTCCACTGATATCCTTTCCCCAGTTATTTTAAGGAGACTTGGGCTTGATTCTCTCTGATTAAGTTCTGGCTTCATTATTGTACTGGTTTTGGCTGGAGTTCTTTATGCTAACCTGTGTAATGCTATGCTTTGGATCTGTGACCAAAGCAGTGCAGGTAATTCACTGATGATTTCCCTGTTGCTGAGCAGTGCTAGACAGTGTCCAGGTTTCTCTGTATCTCACAATACCCCACCAGCAAGAAGCTGCCAGGGACACAGCAGAACAGATGACTCCAAACAGATATCCCATACCACATAATGTTAAGCTCAGCAATAAAACCTGGGGTAAAGAGGAGGAGGGGATTGTTCAGGATTATGGCATTTCTCTTCCCAAGGAAGAATTCTATGGGATGAGCCATTTTTCAGGAAACCTGCCTGCCAGTGGGAAGTATTGAGAGGGTCCTTTATTTTAATTTACTTGCATGCAATTTTTGTTATATCTATTAAACTTTAATTCTTCCCATTCTCTTTTTCCTTCCCACCATTTCTGGGAGCTAAGAGTGAGTGAGTGGCTGAGTGAAGCTTAGCTGACAGCTGTGTTCACCCACAACAGTTGGCATCAGCTGTGGGCTAATTACACCCATTAGCTGTGGGGATGGGATGGCTGTAACCAATCCTTCCAAGAACTCATGGCTACTTTTCAGGAGGAAAGAATGAGAATGAGCTGAGTGCTGGAGCTAGGTGCTGGTTAGTGCTAATTCCAGTTGTTATTGTCTCCCATGTTTCTGGTATGTAAGGATTTGTGATTGTTTTGGATCAGCTTTTGTGTTGATTCAACAAAGACAAGCTCTTCTACTGTAGTAAAAGGGGGTACTGTATCAATCTGGATAGCTGTATGACATGGGTAACATGCATGCTGGGGAAAAACTGAGAGCAACAGTAGTATGAAGTTCTTGTATACCTGAAGCTGTTTCCTGCATTTGCACAAAGTTGGGCCCCTAGTCTTGTCCCCTGGTTCCCCAGTCATAGATTTATCACAGAATCATAGAATGGCTTGGGTTGGAAGGGTTCTCAAGGATCATAAAGATCCAACCCTGCTGCCACATGCAGGGCCATCAACCTTCCCATTTAATACCAGAACAGGCTGCCCAGGGTCCCATCCAACCTGGCCTTGAACACCTCCACAAGTGCATCCACAACCTCTCTGGGCAGCTGTTCCAGCACCTCACCACTCATAGTAAAAAACTTCCCCCTGCTGTCCAACCTGAGTCTTCCCTCCTTTAGTCATCTTAATACAGCTCATAAAGAGCTCAGTATAGGTCATTGCTAAAATGTAGCCTGATCTTCAGGTCAGGACTGTCCTCAGTCCTTGAGCTATTGTACACTCAACTTCCTACTTCACACAGCCCTGCTCCTGCCTGCTCCCATTTGTTTTGCTTCAGCTTGGCTGCCAGGCAGAGCCATCAGTTTCAGCAGTCTGCTGGTGTCTGTGTGGGTGGCACATGCACTGCAGTTGTGGTGGGCTTCTAGGCTTGCCCACCCTGAAAGGTCTGTATTTCTGTATGATGAGTGCTAAAGAGGAGACCCTATCAGTTCAGCAGTGTATGAGGGCTGATAGTCAAGTCTCCTATTTTTGTAAGTTGGCCTGTGATGTCAGAGGTGGATGTTGGTATGGCAGTAGGGGTTGAACCTTCCCCGACAATATTTTGTTACATGTTGCTGTGTGACAGACGGCAGCAGAGGGGTAGTCTGACAAAATGGCATTTGACACAGACGTGCATCTGAAGCAAATGTGTGTTTTTGAATTCCTTCATGTGGAAAAAATGGCACCCACTGATATCCATTGATGCTAGCTGAATGTTTCTGGAGACCCAACAGAAGATGTGTGCACAATGAAGCAGTGGGCATTGCATTTCAGCAATGACATCATTATAGCAGCTGTGAAACACTGGGACAACTGGGCTGCTACAGGTTTTTGAGCTCAGCAAGCAGGCTCTTGTTCACTGCAAGCAGAAATGCACAGCTAATGGTGGTGACTGCATTGGGGAAAAAATAGTGTTTTGTATCTGAGCATTTTCTCTATCGAATGGTTTTATTTTACTTTTAGTATCTGTTTCTGTTTCTATGGGAATAAATAGGAGGCCTAACTTTTGGAGCAGTGTACATTAACACAAGTGTGTGTTGTCATTCTTCACAGTGCCCTAGCAATGGTGACTTGTAAAGAACTAGCATGTTCTCCTTTGACTGTTATTCTCATTAACAGTGGTCTGAAGATTATTTTTTTCCTCTTGCTGACTCCCTACCAGAGCTATGTGGAAGTTGTTTATTTTCTTACTTTCAGGACTTCACTGATGTCCCCTTCTGTGCCTGTAAGAAACCTAGTGATAAATGTCAGACCGTATTTCTGACTAAGGCCTTTTAAAATTTACTGTTTCCAAGTTTGTGAGTCTGAAAAAAGATTCTCCTAATATTATGGAATAGATAAAATAGTCATATAAATGGTTAATAACTCCACACATCAAGACTGATTAAGGTGGCAGCTGGTGTAGCAGAACAGCAGACCCTATGCTTTAATGGTATTCAGGTGTGTTTAATGACTCAAACTGGTTTCTGAGGTGTTCCTGCCCTGTGCAGAGAGCTGGCAGTTGGCAGTTAGGATGGGTTCCAAGGCTTTCCTCATAGTCATCAATAGCAGTCTGAGGAGTTACCCAGTACAAATCTGTGCAAAACTAAGATGCAGAAACTTGGTTGTTTTGCAGGCTTATTTTATTGCGCTCTGTTTTTTGTCAGGTTATCTACTTTAACTTCTGCCATGTGAGGGCACACATGTACAGCCAACTGGAGATTCTCCAGCAGAATGTTTTCTCATTCAAAGGTACCAATTTGTCAGGGGTTGAGAGAAGTTTTAGACTGAAAAGAAACAAAGCTTCAGGTATCCCCTAGCAAAAACAAAGAGAAAAACAACAAAAAGAACTAAAACCAGCAGAAAAGCTCCCAAAACCTGGGCAGCTTTCTGGAAACAGGAAACTAGAGAACACGCTTCTGTTTTTAACTTCAGTTACATTTGTCATAGGGTTTTAAAATTCCAACTTATAAAAAAAGTCCAGACCAAACTACTATGAGGGAGTTGTTTTGGA